TATAAGGTAGAATTTGGATCATGATAGTTGGGAAGGGGGCAGGAGGGGGAAGAAGCATTTAAGAACTAGAGGAAAGTTGTATGTTTTATTGTTGCTTCACTGCACTCTCTTACTGGCTTGTCTCCTCCCTGCAACCCTTCTGCAAGGGGATGTCCAGTTGCCTACAGATGGGCTTTGGGTCCCCAATCTGCTCTCCCCCTCATTCACAATGTATGATTTTTTTGTTCTTTGATGCCTGATACTCGATCCCTTTGACACCTCGTGATCGCACAGGCTGGTGTGCTTCTTCCATGTGGGCTTTGTTGCTTCTCAGCTAGATGGCCGCTTGTTTACCGTCAAGTCTTTAAAACCCCAGACACTATATCTTTTGATAGCCGGACACCATCAGCTTTCTTCACATTTGCGTATGCACCCGCTTTGTCTTCAGTGATGTGTCAGGAAGGTGCGCATCCTGGAATGCCAGTTTAATAGAACAAAGAGTTCTTGCATTGATGGAGGACTTGAGTGGAGCCCCAATGTCCATCTGCTATATTAATACTAAACCTATAAATATATGCACATAGATCTATTTCCCCATCATCATATATAAATATATGTACATGCCTGTATTTAGACCTCTATAAATGCCCTTTGCCTCCTACTTCTTTCCTCTATTTCCTTTTACTTTCCTCTGGTCCCATTATCATGCTCAGCCTTCATTTGGGTTTCAGTCATTCATTTCATCTTTAAATATGATTCCACTGCATATATGTTGGTATATTTTTGGGTAAAATTGACCACATAGTCATGAGTCCTTTGGACACACATTTTGACCTCAAACTGATGGTCTCCTCCATCCTTATGATTTGGCTTTGTCTTGTCTTTTCCAGTTGAAGACTTAATAAAGGGATCTCTATAGAAGATATTTGAATTTGGGGTCTTTCCTCTCCCAGAATAGTACCAAAACATATTACCGAGAAAGTAAAAAAAACCCAAGCTACTAAATGGGAGAAATATTTGCAAACTACACATCTGATACGAATATAAAAATAACTCCTACATTTCAATGAAGGAAAGCTGGTGGTGTCAGACTGTGCCTATAAAAATTTACAAAGCCTCAGAAACCCTATATAAGCTTGCTATGACCTCATTCTCACTCTCTCACTGCCTCATTCTCTCACTGCCTCTCTCACTGCCTCACTCACTCACTGTCTCACTCTCTCATTCTCACTCTCAGTCTCATTCTCACTCTCAGTCTCATTCTCACTCTCTCTCACTGCCTCATTCTCTCAGTCTCATTCTCTCTTTCACTGCCTCATTCTCACTCTCTCTGTCTCATTCTCTCACTCACTCACTGTATCATTCTCACTCTCACTGACTCACTCAACTCACTGTCTCATTCTCACTCTCTCACTCACTGCCTCACTCTTTCACTGTCTCACTCTCTCACTGTCTCATTCTCACTCTCTAAAAAAGAAAAAAAAAAAAAGCTTGCTATGAGTTGGAATTGACTATATGACAGTGGGTTAGGGGTTTAGGACACTTCAATGAAAAAACAAACAATAAAAATTTTAAATGAGCAAATAAGTTGAGTAGATATTTCTCAAGAATAGACCTCATTCCGGTGTGCCGGCCCTTGAGGGCGATGGTCCTGCTCAGAGCCACTCATTCCCAGAGATGACTGCAGGGCTGGTCTCAGCTTGAAGTGTGATGTCCTCTCCCTAGATGGCAGTGCTACTGTGGTCAGCCCTGACGATACAGTTCATGGAGAGCAGCTGGTCTGACTTACCCACTCAAGACAAATCAAGAGGGGAGCATTCTGATTGTACTTATTTGAAGACAGATTTCTATGTTCTTTTGGCAATCTATGGTATTTCAACATTCTTCACCAGTACCATAATTCAAATGTACTCATTCTTCTTTGGTCTTCCTTATTCAATGTCCAACTTTCATATGCATATGAGGCGACTGAAAACACTATGGCTTGGATCAGCCTCTCCTAAATCTCAAGTAACATCCTTGCTTTCCAACACTTTAAAGAGGTCTTGTGTAGCAGATTTACCCAATGCAATGCGTCATTTCATCTCTTGATTGCAGCTTCTAAGAGCATTGATTGTGGATCCAGGCAAGACAAAATCCATGACAGCTTCAATCTTTCTCTATATCATAATGTTATCAACTGGTCCAGTTGTGAGGATTTTCGTGTGCTTTACATTGACTTGTAATCCATACTGAAGGCTGCAATCTTTGATCTTCATCAGCAAGTGCTTCAAGTCCTCCTCAGTTTCAGTAAGCAAGATGTTTCATCTACATACCATGGGTTGTTAATAAACCTTCCTCCAATCCTGATGCTGTATTCTTCTACATATAATACAGCTTCTCTGATTATTTTCTTAGCATACAGATTGAATTAGTACGGTGAGAGGATAAAACCTTAACTTTTCTGATTTTAAACCAAATATCTTGGTGTTTCTCTTCTGAATTTCTATTTGAAGTTTTTCTTTGGTCAGATGGTTCTTCCAGTGTGCTTTCCTCAGTTGTTCTATCGTCTCTTCTGTTTCATTTTTTTCTGTATCTCTAATATTCTTCCATGTTTAAAGCAGTTGAACATCATTCTTTGAACTCCTTCAATGGAAGGTCTAATGCCTTTTGTTCATCTGAAAATTCCCTCGAGTGTGTGTGACACCTTGTTTCTTTCATGTGCACTGAAATTGCCTGTTGCATCCAAGGTATTGAAAGAGAAGTAGATTAGGGACTAAGGAGGGTTTTCTCCCCAAAGCCTGCAAAAGCCTACCTAGAAGGTTTGGAAAGAAATCAGGCACTAATTGGACACCTATGAGAAAAGCCAGAACTGAGCAAGCTCAGACACAAGCCCCTTAGGTCCACGGTAAAACCAATACCATGGGCACATCCACCTTAGGTACATCACACAGGTGGGCCTAAGCTCAGCCAATGGGGTCAACCAATACCTGGAACCATGTCTTCCCAGCCAGGTGTGTCAAATCCCTGGCTGCGGCAAGACCAGCCTCTCCTTTACTCTAGTCTTGTGCAGGTGTACGCTGTGAGTGGAGGAATTCCAATGTGCACACTCAGGGACTGCACCCTCTTGGGCTCTTGTCTCTGGGGAATCCTCAGTCTCCTAAGTGTGTTTCACACTCCTATTCTGGTGTTCTTTCCACATGGTTTTTTGTGCCCAGTTGTGAACCCCAGTGCGGCCTGGCACTCATTCCAGAAAGTCTTTTCGGGACTGTAATACCTGAAACCTTTCTGTTCCTTAAAAATACTCACTTGGATTACAAAATGCTTCTGCAGCATGAAACCTTTCAGCATTGTGGAGCAAGAACCGCGGTATATCCCACTCCAGAAACCTAACAGTATGATGTTCTTGTTCATATTTGCCTCGATTTGTTGGTCAGGTGGCATCAGAGTGAATACTATTCTCCGTGCACTAGTTGTAGCTGTTGAAGGTTCAAGGGTGGCTGGGTCATGTAAGAGTCTATCTCACGTAGGGATTAACGACAAACAAAACCTGATGTCCCAGTCTCCAGGCCGGCCTTTGGGGTTGCCTGCAGGTGCTGATTAATGAGCAAAAGAGCCGTCACTGAGCGAAGGAAAAGATAATAACCAAGACATTCTGCTGGCCCACACCTGTCTTTGCTGGAGGTGTACCTCAGGGCAGGCCCAGCATCGGTTTAAATTCTCTGAGGCAGGGAGCTGAACACAGCCTGGGTCTTTTTCAACCCCAGGACTGTGGGGAGCTAATGGGCTCCAGGCTGTCTTGTGCTAATTTTCTCCTTGTGGGTTCAATCAGGTTTGCTCTCATCCAGTGCTAGCTCAATCACATTTGCCCCCTCTCCATGAAATGAGGGGTGGCCCTCCCTATCCAGCTATGAGGTCGGAAGGTGTTACTGTCTTGTTAGATAAGCTTTAGTCTTGGGGTCTAGAAGGGTGTTAAAACTCACCTCTTCCTCTCTCCCAGTGCAGAGGTTCAGAACACTGGGGGAGAGGTCACCCAGTGAGGTTGTCTAGATAGCCAACCATCTTAAGCGTTTTTAGGATCCCTTGGGCAAGCTTCTGGCTGATTTGACAAGTTGTGCATGGTTCAGATTTCTATTTTCCTGGGGAACTTCCGAACATTTTTAGGTCTTGGTGGTGTAGTTACTCGTTGGGCTGCTAACCACAAGGTCAGCAGTTCGAAATTACCAACCATTCCACAGGAATAAAGGTGAGGCTTTCTCTTCCCATAAAGTCTTGGAAACGCACAAGGGCAGTTGTACCTTGCCTTACAGGGTTGCCATGAGTCACAATCGACTTCACAGCAGTGAGGTTTTACTTAGAGAGGGTGTTAGCACCTGGTTACATAGCATGGTTTTCTGTTCCTTTTTTAAAAACTTACCCTGGTATAAGTCTTTCATCTCCTTGGTTAAATTTATTCCCAGGAATTTCATTCCTTTTTTTTTCCCTTTTAGAAATGTAGATAAAATTTCTATTTAATTCTTTTAGATGCTTTTGCTATTTGTTTTCATAATTTCCATTTGGAGTCGTTCATAGCTCATATAGCCTTTTGTCTGTTGATCTTGCACCCTGCTGTTTTGCCGAAATTGTTCATTAGCTCTAGCAGTTTTCTTTGGGGATTCTATGTGATTTTCTGTGTATACATGGTGTGAAAACGGTGCATAGAGGGGTCCCCATCTGATGTCCTTTGGACTTCCCCACTGCCATGAGGCGGAGCTCAGACATGCCTCCACCATCCATCTTTCTGTATCTATCGGTGACACCTATTCTCTTCCTGAGGAGAGCAGAGTTGTATCTGGAGCCGGTCAGGTTCTACTGGCTGTCCTGATTGGAGCTCCTCTGAGAGAAAGTACCCACACAATCCAGGAGACAGGGTTGACCTGCTGGTCCTAGGTGTTTGCAATGCCCTCCTCCTCTCATCACCTGTCTGACCCCAGCATCCCTGGCCTGGAAACCCACCTAGACTCAGCACTGTGCTGAAAGGAAGTCAGGCTAGGCCACAGGAGAACAATGAACACGTTTATTAGGAGAGTTGAATCAACAATATGGGGTCAGAAAAACTCAGGTGGGAAGGATCTTTTTCCCCTTGAAACAGAACTAACAGCTGTGGGTGTCTTCTCCCTCAAGGCCTTTCGGGAGGAGTGGATGGAGGAGCTACTCCCTGCTGTCCTACAGTCCTCATACCTGCTGCCTCCCAGAAAGGGCTCAACACACCCCAGCCTCCCTTCCAGGGGCCACCAGTCCTCACAGGGTGAGTAAGACCAGGCTGATGGCTAGCAAGGCCAGTCCACACTAAAGGGCATGGACCTGGTACATTCTTTCAGAGGGTTAACACCTCTTGTGAACATTTCCCACTGTAACGAACAAAATGCACAGCAACATCGCACACCCTGTGCCCCTGGAAAGCTGGCAGATCGCTGGCTTGAAGAGAGGGTGGCAGGTACACGCAGACCACCAGGTACGGGGTGTGGGAGAAGCCTCCAGTGCCTGTAGCCTAGTGTTCCAGTCCAGGAGCCTCCAGGCCTCTCTGCTGCCCATCCTGGAGGCTCAGCTCCCAGCATCTTTTCTTCTGACTCAGGCACCACAGCCTAGTCCTCACTAGAGTTGTCGAACTCCTCCCAGTCAGACACGCTCATGACCTCTGATGCGAAGTCCTGGTCAGCCTGACTGCGGTCGTGGTTCCAGTCGGGGGTCCCGTGGGGGGGCTCAAGGAGCAGGGAACGGGGTAGGGTGAGCACACAGGCGGCTAGCCCCGAGATGGAGTTATCCAGTTGTGGCCCCTCCTCCCAGCAGTCCTTCTCAGCATCATAGATGTGCACATAGGCTGTGCGGCTGCCTCGGTTGTGTGAGCGGCCGCCCAGCACATAGATCCTGCCTTCCAGCACAGCCATGCCTGGTTCGCCATGTCCGGCCGGGAGCGGACAGACTGATGACCACTGCCCAGATGTACAGCTGAAGCAGGCCACCTGCAAGGCAAGGTCAGGGTTATAACTGGCCCCCAGGGACTGCCGTAGGGCCAACTCAACCCCAGGCTGTGAGTAGACCCAGCGACCAAGAAGGACGGTGCCTGCCCAGTGTTGTCCAGTCCCCTCCTCTGGACCTGTGTTTCCTGCCTTACACTTACTTGGAGATCGCCCTTGGTCCCAGCCATTCCAACCCCTTGGCCTGCCTCTGAGCACCCAGGGTGGGGTAGATTCTAAAGGTGCCTGTGGTAGTTAGACTTTCATACAAATTCAACTTGGCATGAAGTCGTCCAAGGGTGGAGTCCAATCTGTCAATGACGATGGCTCCTTGGAGGTGTGGCCTTTTTATAGGGGAGAAACTGAAGTTTTCTTTCTCTCTGCCCCTTCACCTTTCTGCTTTGTGAGACTGTATGTCTACCTCAAGGAATGACCCCAGGAAGGCTGCCTAACCCTGACAATTGCCTGCACCCTGCCATGCCTCCACCAACCTTGGATCCATGTGACTTGGTACCCACCAGCCCGTGGTTTTCCTGTCTCCGGCTTCATCTTTCTGTGCATCCGCCTACTGGAGTCTGGAGGGTGCTATGGCTGGCATTGGACCCATGGACTTATGCTGGACTGGGCTGGGATGCCTTCTTGATATATCGTATATACTGGAGTATAAGCCAAGTTTTTCAGCACATTTTAAATGCAGTTTTTGTGGTAAAAATCAGGTGCCTCAGCGGATATTTGGGTCGGCTTATACTCGAGTATGTATGGTAAATTCTTTCTGATACATACAAGAGTGCTAATGACTTTTGTTTCTCTAGACAACCATCGGTCTTCTCCCTTCCACCGGTGGAAAGACAGCACCCCAGCGCACAAACATAAAGAACATTCACCCTCATGCTATTGAATGAGCAGCAATGAATTTTTTTAGCCTATCAACTAGCAGGTCAGAGGGCTCACCAGCAGCATGGGCCCCAGTTTGGACTCGAGTTGGGGTGGGGGAATGCTGTGCTGGAAAAAGACAACAAAGGGTATGAGGGCGAGAAACATTCGTCTTCTCCCCCAGGCTGCCAGCGCCCCCGAGGCCCCCGGCAGGCCGTACTGACTCACTTGGTGCACATCCCTCCTGTAGCCAGCGTCATTGTTGCTGCCCCCAATGACATACAGCTTGTTGAGGAGAGTAGCCATCCCATGCCAGGCCCGTCGCACTGGTCCGTCAGCCAGGCTGCTCCAGGTGTTGCTGTCCGGCTCGTAACAGTGGGTCTCTCGCAGGTAGTCCTCCCCTCTGCGGCCACAGGTGATATACATCTTCCCCTCCAGTGCTGCGCCTGCGTGGGCATACACCTGCACAGTGCCACCAGGGGGAGGAGCATGAACCAGTTAGTGATGCCAAGGTCCTCTGAGCCTTCACCAGGCTGGCTGGCTATAGCCCCACATCCACCTGCTGCTTCCCAGAATGTGAAGCCAATCTTCACATTCTGACGGAAACACCCCCTGGCTTCTTCTAGACTAGTGGTTCTCAACTTTCCTAATGCCATGACCCTTTAATACAGTTCCTCATGTTGTGGTGAACCCCAACCATAAACTTATTTTCCTTGCTACTTCATAACTATAATTTTGTACTATTATGAAGTGGGAGACCCCCCTGTGAAAGGGTCGTTCAAGCTCCAAAGGGGCGGTGACCCACAGGTTGAGAACTGCAGTTCTAGACGCACTACGAGGGCAATGACAAAGGACTGCTACAGAATCACAGAAGCCTTGATTCAGGAAAAACATCAACATGGGAGGCAGTTGTACAGTACAAACCTCAAATGCTGATTATTGAATAATTATTTTTGTTTTCACCTGGATAAATGGGGTGGTAGTGGTGAGAGTCAAAGTAAAGTATAATAAAATGCACAAATGCTAGAGTTAGAAAACCAAGAAAGAGCCAGCATGGAGTAGGGAACCAGTGGAGAGATCTGAGGGGCCGGCCCCAATCCCAACTACGTGGACACCT